ATTTCGGTGACCAAAAAAAAAAAAAAAAAAAAAAGAATTCAATGCATGAATTAACTGCAGAACATACAATACAGAAGACAGAATTAGTGAAATGAAAGATGATTTGACAGAAAATATTCAAACTGAAACTTGGAGGAAAAAATAGAAAATTTATAAAAGGCATGTAGGAGAGAGAAAATGTCTTACACGAGTTCACATGAAAAGAGAATACTATGGTACCAAATCAATATGGAAGAAATAATGCTAAGTATTTTCCAAATTGTTAAAAAAAATCAGTCTATAAATTGAAGAAGTTCTATAAACTGTAGGTAGAATAAATACAAAGAAAATCATTAAAAATCTTTAAAATAGCCTTAGGTAAAAGATGTTTTTAAAAACACATGAAGGCTTATGGATGACTTTTCATCTGAACTGATGAAAGATGGAAGACAATGAACAGTATTTTTAAAGTGCTGTAAGAAATTAACTGGCAACAGAGAAGTTGTAGGTTTGAAATCAACTTCAAAAATGAACACAAAACAATGTTTGCAACCAAACAAAATCTAAAGAATTGACTGCCAACAAATCTGTACCAAAATGAAAGAGAAAATGATAAAAGAATACATAAAAATAGATCAATACTTCATTAATACAAAGGATCCAAGAAAATTAATACAAAACATTTAAATTTTAGATAGTGAATAGATATAAATGGTAAGATGGCAAATTTAACTCAAGTTACTAGTAACTCAAGTTACAAGTAACTACGTTAAACAGAGACAAAAAAACTCCAATTAAACAACTTACGTACTGCTTAGTGATTTGTGGAAGCCAAAATGAAGAATAAAGTTACATTCTTTTCAAAATACATAAATGACAATGAGAGCCCCATGTATAATTCTGATATCTAATAAAGTTAATTTCCGAAAGCAAATGCACATGACACTTCTTTACATAGTTCTCATTCAAATTTATGCAATGGGATTACCATAAGACATACAAAGTCCTGTGAATATATCAATAAAAGGAAAGACCAAAGTTACACACTAATTAAGAAAATTAGTGATGATAGGAAGTACTTTAATTCAACTTCCACCATTAAAAAAATTATTTTAATTCTGTTTTGTACAGTGAAACCAAAGTAACTAACATATTTGTGCTAGGCTCCAAGAGGTTGAGCTGCAGCTAAGAATATAAATTAGGGACTGACAATGCAACATGAGATAAGTGTTCCACAAAACATTTTTATTTCAACTGTTGAAGAAAGGTAAAAAAGACAAGTGACTCTCAGTAATAAAAGGCAAACAGTTGGCTTTTAATAGTATATTTTAGCTACATAAATTACAAAAGTTTTAAAATCTAAAGTCTTTAGTCTCAGATCATTTTAAAAGAAAAGCCTCATAAAGATATTTCCACTCTCTAGCATTTTTACAGATAACATATTGGCAACATGATAGTAATCAGGCAGAATCTACATGTTAAAACAAAGCACCCTTAAAAAACAAAGAAAGGGCACCAGTAACTTTCTTCCTAGGTTATACAAGGAAAAAAACAACTTAGATCTCCAGCAGAGCGTGGTGGTAATCCTAGCACTCTGGAGGCTGAGGTAGGAGGATTGCTGTGAGTTCAAGACCAGCCTGGGTTACACAGTGAGTTCCAAGTCAGCCTCAACTACATAGTGAGACCCTGTCTCAAAAACAAAACCAAACAAAAAAACCCAAAAAACAAAAACAAAAACAAAACAACTTAGATCTCCAGGGAAACTTCTCCCCAATTCCTTGACAACCAACCTGCCATGTTTCAATATATTCCAAGAATATGTCCAAAGGCCTCTTTATTTTTAACCACTAATTTATTTTTCTGTTGTTCAGCACTTTTTTCCCTCTAAGTTCCCTTCTTTCTCTCTCTCTCCCTCCCTCCCTTCCTCTCTCTCTTCTATTTTCCCTTTGTATATTTGCACATCTAGGTTAGGTTTGCTTTTCTTGTTAATTGTTGTTGTTCTGGTTAAAGAGGGTCTTACTATGTTACCCAGGCTGGTCTTGAACACCTGTAGGATTCAAGTGATCTTCCTGCCTTAGTTTCCTCAGTAGTTTGGACTTACACGCTACCATGCCCAGTTCAAACGTTTTTCTTAAAGCAAATGTATTTCTCACAACCATACTCCAAAAGGGTGCTCCACAGGAAAATGATTTCATGGTAAAGGCATAACACACAGTGAACATTTAAAGAGACTAAGAAATTCTGAAGTGAAGATACTAGATTAACTTTATAAACCAGCTATTCTCAAATCTGTTAAAGCTAATGAACTTTTTCTACAGTAACTATTAATACCTCACATAATATACATTTAGAAAATATTAGTCTTAACCACTGATTAAAACATATAAGCAAAATATCATACTTAATCTTGTATCCTAAATGGTTTATAAAATCACACTGTCTTTGGACAAACCAAAAATGAATTTACATATACAATAATTAGCAAGTTGCTGAGTGAAAACACTGCATTTATAGTACCTCACCTAAGTTCATCTGAATATTTAGACTGTAAACAACAATTATAATTTTGTGATTGTAGAATCACAGGGCAGGGGGTAGTAAAAAGCAAGAATTTTTAATACAAGTATACAGTATAGACTATTTTACAAGTATTAAAATCTAAAACTTTTAATTTTTCTTTCATTAATTTTCATGCTTGATCTTTTCTCCAAGTGGGATAAAGAATGGGATTTTATGAATTTCATGAACCAACAAATACACAGGCTGGCTGTATTACACTTTTTAGAAGGCATGTTGTATAAAATGACCAAAAAAAATGTAATGAAAATGTCAGTTTTCTCTATAAGGTGTACTATAAATTACTGACGTCACAGGTTTTAAAGAGAAATTTTACAGTACACACATTGTACCTGAAGGCTCCGTAAAGTGGTCTGTACCAACAGACAAATGAGCAAGGTGTGAAAAGCACGAACCACAGGATGCTCAATCCAAAATCAACCCCTCTTGAAGAATCAACAAAAAACCAAGCCAGGCATCCGAAGATATTTAGAAACAGTGTTACAGCATGGACTGTGGAATCAGAAAACAAAGGAAAACATTTACATTCACTTTATTACTTAACAAAATTATAAATTAAAAAATACTTCCTAGAAAAAAATATTCTACCCCATGTTTCCTTTCCATTTAGCATTATTAAAAACACTGCTATTTCTTACACATTGAATTTGTAAACCAAGTACACAGGAAAGTGAGTCCGGAGACATGCAGAGCTGCCCAAAACGTCATGGGTCCTCTCCTCCTCAAAGGCAATTACACAGCTTAACCAAAAGAGCACTGCCTTTAGGGCTTCTTCCCCAAGAAGGAAATAATGTGATGTGCCCCTTGATGCAAGGCCCAAGACGAAAAGCAGTGCCTTAATAACCATGACCTGGGAGGAGACAGACCCTTGTACTTAAAAGCATCTTTTTTAGAGAATGGGGCCACAAACTAAAAACTGGAGTCAAAATACAAGGAGTAACAATTTCCAGGAATTACAGAGTCAATCTAAAAGGATCAGTAATTCATCTCATAGAAGTTGTCCAATTTTAAAGTCCTGAAAAAAAAATGTACTTTGGTAGAGAATTAAAATCATTAACACACTCCTTCCCCATGTGCGTACACACCGCAATCCATTTCAGCAGCTATTCCTTTGATTAACACGAATAGGTCTTAGTATAAACTCTTCCTATGCTGTTAATAATGATTTTCCCTAATAGATCAAAAACAAAAAATCTGAGTAGTATCTAACTATAGTATGATCCACATGTACCCATTATAACTAATAACTTTTTAAATGATTCTTTAAAACCTTATTCACCAGCTAAATTTAATATAGGAAATAAATACTCATGAAAATGTATGACTGTCCCATCGGGTGTCTTGTGTCACTGGATCTAATCACTTTTATTGGTCTTTTTTACTAATAAATTAATAGAAAACTGCCCTATGGGACAGTTAGGCATGTACCACTGGTGGTTCAAGCTACCTGGCAGCAAGACATATAAATTATGGACCCATCATGAACATGTTAAGCCAATCACTTAAGCTTTGTGAGCTTCAGTTTTTCATCTACAGAAAAGCAGAAGCTCTTCCAGTTTAAAAATTTCATTCCCTTTAATCACATATCAAAAACTCTGTTCCTGTTAGGAATGTTTAATTCTCATGAAAGTTAGCTTGCTAATAAATTTACTCAAAATCCTTTTCCCTAAAATAAGAGTAGTTGTGGTTAGGGTTTAACAGCCCTTAAATTCAAAATTTAAATTCTCTATAATTAAATGAATTTAGTAATTTAGAAGTTTTTAATGTTAAGAAAATTCCAGTCTAAATTTCAACCTTCACAGGAATTATTTTAAAGGTTTATCTACTAATCCATAAGAAAAAAATGACAACAAATATGTAGATGCATGTTTTGAAGTTCAAACAAATTCTTCTAAGTATAGTTAAAACCATCAATTTAATGTTATACAATCTATTATTTCTAAATGTTTTCACACTAACCAATATCCTTCAACAATAAGTCATTTACTTGTATTCTGATGAATGCTAGTGTGTCTAGGACTACTTACTGAACAATCTGTCCAGTAAGAGTTCAGAATACATATGGAAAGGCCAGATAATGTGAAATCCATGATCTATGTGGATAATTTCAGTCCATTTTAAGGGAGCAATGAATCTATGCTGGTGGACTCGAAGAACAGATACAACACTCATGGTGACCTTGACTCAGGCGGAGTGGAGCCCCCAAAGGAGATTCCAGGCACGACCTCCAGCCAGGTGGTTTGTGCTGGCTGACTACAGAGGAAGGTGCAGCCCACAGTCCCATGAGAAGCATCAGTGACTCAACTCCCAGAGATAACCCACACTAGCAAAGGATAACTTACATAGCACTTTGGCATAGCAAAATGAAATGTAATGAACCAACAGTGACATAATGGAAGGCAGCAAAATCAAAATCACATAGGAGGATCAAGGGTTAGGAAGACTCTCTGAAGAGATTGGAAAATAGAGTGAAGCAGTATTTTATCAGCAGGTCTTCCTGAAATTTAACTAAAAATATGACACCTTTTTCTTCAGACAACTGCTCTTTTTCAGTACCAATTACATCAAACAAATCAGTTTCTAGATGCTAACTTGTCAGTTATTCTTGATTGTACTTGGGAAAATATTATTAAATATTTTTACATTAGGAATGAGAAGAACAAACAGCTACCAACTTTTTATGTAATGTTTTTGTGTTTCATTACCATTTGCTTATGACTTTTGATAAACATATCCTACTAGTTCAGGGATTTTGTACTTTTAGGTATTAGGTTTACTAAATACTGTATCTGCCTCTTTGCTCAAATTATTTCCTTTACTTACGGCTTTTTGCATTATCCAGTCTTTTTAATATCTTGTATAGATTATTGCCTGAGTTTCTCTGAACTCACCAAGCTTTCATCTAAATGTCAGAAGTCGTTTTATTTCTTTGCAGTATTTTGATTTGGATTTCATTCCTTCCTCATGTCTTGGGAGAACCAGCTACCTACTAAAGCCTGAAGGCACAGAATATTTATTCTTACCAATGTCCTTTGTCAGCATTCAGAGTTACTGCCTATCACTTTCCATGACGGTAATTTTATTTATGGCTCTTATAACTTCTTGGTCAGAAGTTATTACCTTGGTACAGGCTATTTAAATAACTTCCTATATAAATGAGCTTACCTTATATTTTCCTTCTTCATCCCTCCTACTTACATTGTAAACTTTAAGAGAATACTCTTGCCCAAACTCATTGTCTGTTTTCTCTTGTACCTGGTTACCATTTGTACTGCTTCATGTATTCATTCTTTTACTTAAAGTACAGATTCCTGCATATATTGAGATGAACATTCCCTCCCTACTTGTACTTTTGTCAATAGTTTTCTCATTGCCACAATTTGTTGGTTTAATTGTCACGGCTTTATTTAAGAGATACCTTATTACACATAGATCCATTTGTTAACTGGAAAAGCATGGATTCATTCCACTTACAATGCACAATTCTGGGCAAAATGAAAAGCCTATATCAATAATAATTTGCTAATATGTTGCCATCTTAAAACTAAACCGATTACGACAAAAATCATAATCTTAGAAACAGGAAAGAAGGTGACTCAGGACATACCAAAAAGTGGGACTAAACTGAAGCTCTTTTTCCCTTAAAGCTTTTGTAGTTTTCCAGCATACTTTTAGGGCTATGATATAGTTCATTAAATAATGTTTTCTTTTAAAAACAAAATAATGCCAAGATGTTCTTATGCCGATTTAGGACTACTGTAGAAATAAATGTTATTAATACAAAAGTGAAATGATTTAACATTTGACCATACTGATGTTTTTGTTGCCTAAAAAAACTGGATTCAAAAATGTCATATAAATCTGAGATTTTACCGACTTTAAAACATGAACTTAAACATTTTATTATATTTAAAATATAAAAACCATTTTCTTAAAAAAAATAGATACAACACTAAAGAAATTGTAGGGCAGTTTGTTTCCATGACTTGCAACTGGAACAGCTCTCTTGGATATAAACTATTAATTTACTTTACTAGACAGTCAAGGTGGCATTAATGGACCTACATTTGAAATCATTACAATATACTCATTAAGTTATGGGTTACAATGAAGACACTTAATAAAGTATATTATTTTGGTTGCTACATGGTCTTTAATGTAGCAAATGGTTTTTCCTTTTTGAATTCAAAAGTACACTACAAAAAGGTTGAAATTCATTTCACAGGAATATTTCTAATTGCTTTAGTTCATTACAGGGTAAATTATTTGCTTAAAGTTAGATACCTTTGAAAGCATGTCTTCATTGATTGCTTGGTTGTTTGTTCTAGACTTCACAGAGTGAAATGTACTGGGGGACATACTAACAGTGGCAGGTCCAGGATGGCAGAAAGAGCAGTTCAGTCACAACTTGGTTCAGGAAGAGAGGTGCATACAAGGGTTAGCACAAAAGGGACTTCATCCTTGTGGGAATGTAGCTGGTATTTGTTATACAATATAAATTACTTTCTTTCTTCACTACTTTATAGGTGGTACAACATAGAAGTCTAGAACCTAAGCTCTAAAGTCAACTCCAACAAGTGACTCAAATTCTCTAAGCTTTACTTTACCTATCTATAAAACCAAGTAATAAAGTACTGCCTTTTAGTGTGGTTAAGATTTAATAAAAATAACATATATAAAATGATTAGCACTGTTCCTGGCACAAAGTAAACCTCCAACAAATGGTGAGAATTGTCATTATATTCATTATTACACTTTGAAAGCAGTAAGCTGAAACTCCTTGAAAATAGCATACTAGAGGCTGGGGGTTTAGCTCAGTGGTTCCGCCGCAATGTCCCAAGTTCAATTCCTGGTACCAAAAAAAAAAAAAGAAAATAGTATACTAAAACAAAAAAGCAGCCTACATTCTAAAATTTAGACATATTACTGAGCTGGTAGTAAATTGCATTTGGTTCCAATTAACACCTTTTGTTTGTTTGTTTTGGTACCAGGGATTGAACTCAAGTCCTTGCACTTGTGAGGCAGGTAGCAGAACCGCTTAGCTAAATCCCTGGCCCCCAATTAATCCTTTTTCAAAACAGAATATAAGTAGAATCTGAAGTCCTCTTTAATACCAATTAAAAGATCTGCCAACTGGATAGGATTTTGAATAGAAAATTATTCTCAACTATGTTATTCTGAGAGACTGAGAAAGTTGCACATTTCTAAAACAAAAGAGCTCTATTTTGAAACCATCACCATTGATACAGTGGTTAACCATTTAGTTAAAATTAACTAAAACCCCTATTAAATCAATATTCACTAAATTCCTCTTGTAATTTTCCTGTAGCCCCTATGTCCTTCCATGAAGAAAAGCAACTTTTAAGTCAAATAACATGCCTAAAATACTTGGCCAGTTTCTACCCATTTAAAAAACAAAACATAAATATATAGATTATTAAATAAGATGAGTTTATTAGTATGTACTATTGAATATACATAGATAGATAGATAGATAGATAGATAGATAGATATAGATAGATAGATAGATATAGATATACACACATACATATACACACAGAGAGATACATATGGGTGTGTATATGACCCATTGGGGACTCAGAAAAATTTATTAAATCAAGAATAAATTCTCGACAGGAAACTAGTTACAAAAATACTATCTAAAAAGAACTACTCCTCAAATTCCAAACAACTTCCCCCGATGTGAGGAGTGCTCCTAAAAGATTTACAAAAATTATCTCTTTCAAGGGAAGAAGAAAGCTTCACTAATCATAAAGTAAAAATACAAATTTCCTTCAGAATGTATCCTACAAATTCATTTTCCAAATATTGTGCATGTAAGAAGCTACAACTGCTGTTATGCCTATTGACATAATGGCATCAAAATAGAATAAAATGAAAAATAGAGTAAATGGGATGTCTGTGTACATGCAGCAAAACTGTTAAGAGCTTGACATTTTAATTTAGTATTCTATGTGCTATAATTATACTCAAAGCAATGTAAGCATCACAGCCTAAAATGTATGCTCTAATGTTCTATTCAATAAAATGTCCTACATTACTCAAGTACTTTCAAACAAAAATATTCACAATCAGTTGAAAACGAAAAGAAAACTGTGCTCAGAACTATTTTTAAAATTAACTTTATAATATTATAGTAGTTTGTGTCCCATTTTAAAAATAACAATGTCTACATTTAACAGAACTTAAATTGTCTCCTGCATAAAAATGGTATGCATAAGTTTTTCAAAGCAAATTATTCATATCTCTATAGCATTCTTCAAGGAAAAAGGATCATTACAAAATCTCGCATGTGACAGAGAAACTGCCCTTTCCTCAAGAATGCCAGTTCTCAAAATGTAGGTTTTCTACAGGAAAAGATTTACATCATCACATGCTGTATGGTTTTGAATATGATGTTTCACTCTGAAAACTTTGGTCATTAATATCTATGAAAAAAGAAGATCAGTTTACTATGCTATCTTTAATAGATTAGTTCAAAACAAAAAAATAACAAAAGTATAAACTATAAATAATATAATTTTTTCTATACTCACACATCCACAAGTAGTACATAAGCTTTACTGTCTTTTGGAATTCTACAGGAATGTCTACAGAAAAGTCCTGATAGAAACAAGGTCCCACAGGAAAATTCTCAGGAAGAGGTGGCCAATTATTTTTTCTACCTGTAAATTAAAAGAGGAATTACTCATAACAAATATATTTTATCAATATTTTTATTATGTAATAATGCTCCTATTGCTTTAGTAAATGTTATTTTAAAATGTAATACTATCTCAACACTTCTACAACCTTGAAAAAAATCAAGCTTCATATTTTTAAAAATTTTCTTGGAATATAACTTTAGAAAACAGATGGTAATTTTTCAGTGTCATATTACATCATATTTAGGTATCAGAGAAAAAGGGCGAAATCAGAAAGAAAAAAGAAAAAAGTTTCAAAGTCACAAGTGTGTGTCATGAGAAGGCAATCCCAGTTTTTAAACTTCAATATCCTCCTCAGCATCTTACATTTTTCAGTAAAATTCTGCTATATGGAAAGTGATGACCAGCATCTGAATCTCAACTTTGTACTGGTAACTCCACAAAGAAGAACATAAGATTAACCTGACATAAAAGACTCAAAATTGGAAATCTCAAAGCCTGGGGAAAAACCTAATACCCAAAAGACACATATAAAAAAATCCATATAATTGAAAGAACGTGAAATATTCATGAGAAAGTAGTAGAAGAATTATAGAACCTTCAAAAATCTAAAGAAAAATTTAGACTGTGAGGGAAAAATATGTGTCTATATAAAGAAATTAGACTGAAAATAAGATGGAAAATTTAAAAATTTAAAAATAAAGCAAAAGGGCTGGGGATTTACTTCAGTAGTTCTGCGGCCTGACTCACAAATGCAAGATCCTGAGCTTGAACCTTGGTATGAAGGAAGGAAGGGAGGGAAAAATCAGAATGTTAAGTATAGAGGGTAAAAATATAAACTAAATATCATTTTCTAAAGTTTTTAAGTGTGACTTTTAATTTCTCACACTTCATTACTACATTTATTAAACATCTCTCATAGAAATAATTTGAATTAGTCAATGCTAAGAAAATAAGGCAAATTTTAGCTACAGATATTTCAGAAACATTGATCTTAAATGTTTAGTTCTTCCTTTACAGATGCTGTCTCTGGTACTGCAAGCGAGAAAATGACACAGAATAAATGATCCAGATGAGGCCTTGGCCCTGAACAGTCTAAGAAGAAACCATTCTGTGTACTGTATCACTATTGTTAGTCCAACACTATCCCAGGCATCCTAACAATGACTTACCTCTAACTTTTGTCCCTTCTTATGCAGACACTGGTAATTTTTCCTAAAATACTCCCTTGAAGTAATCTTGGTAGTCATAGCCTGAACAGATTCCATAGCAAATAATTCAGCACTGATTTATCTTTGACAGTATATATGCCACTCATCCTCCAAGGGTCAGCACAAACATTTTTTTACATGTTTTTGAGGACTAGGCCAGATAATTTGAAACTGGTCTGTGTAAATCGGGTTATGGGTCAAACATGGGGCACACACATTCAAATGTTCTCAAAGATTCAACAGATCCAGAGAGAGCTCAAACACAGAATTAAAGGCTCCTGGGTTTAGAATGAACCCAAGTTATCTGATCTGCATTTGTTTCCTCTGTGATGGGGACAAGGCTGTTCTAATCCACCAGAAGACTACAAATCGGCCAAGATCACAAAGCTATAAAGTATCAAATAGGCAAATTGCCATGTCTGATCTCCTTGCTAGAAAAGGAAAACAGGGCAGGGTTTTATCTATAAACAAAAGACCTGCAGCTAGAATAGATATTTCTATTTCAAACTTTTTTGGAATCTACCATGTTGACTGAGGTTTTGCATTTCTCGTTCTCGACGATCTAATTCTGCAGCTTTTCTTTCTAGTTCTTCTTGGCGCTTAAGAAGTTCAGCTTGAGCCAGGGCATGTTCCTTAAACAAAAGTTATCAATACATTAATTGCTTGTCAGAAGTATAAAACACTCTAACATTTATATGCTATCTCCTATTTCTTTCTATATGATAGAAACCTAATCCAAATGTGCTTCCAAATTACAGAAATGAAGATTAGAGTTTCAGAAAATGTTACATGGATATTTGCCTCTGGAGGAGTAGTCTATAGGACAAGAAAAACTCCTCTCAGTATGAGAAGTCTTGAGTCAGAGGTCATCTGGAAAATGACCTCTGTGCATAAGTGAGATTAAGAACAGAAGCAAAGTGGGGCCAGGGATTTAGTTCAGTGGTTCTGCAGCCTGTCTTGTAAGCACAAGGACCTGAGTTTGATCCCCAGTACCTACCCCCCCAAAAGGAACAGAAGCAAAGGGAACAGGTGAGGAAAACAGAAAGAAGGGCAACTGAGTTAGTTTTGATAAATTAGGTTAAATAGCATGCAACAATGCAAGACTATTTTATAATGTCTTAAATATCATAAGATACTGAGGTAGAAGGATATGGTTAAGAAATTCCGGTCCACAACTCCATCTGGCCATATGTGACACTTTATTCAACAACTCAATTCACCTCTGTTTTTCTTTGATCTTTGTCATCTACTTCCTCCTATAACTACCTAGCCATTTTAACTCTTTCCCTAGAATATCTACCATTCTGTTATTGAGCAGTACTGTACATTAAAAATTAAGACCAAGGCAAGAAAAAATTTTACTATATAAACTTCATAGCCAAATGATACATGAATTCAGTGATTCCTAATAATGGAGTAAGGCAAATGTTAGAAACTGACAGGGATGTGAGTGCTTATAGAATGACAAGATTCCTCATCCAGACTCAAAAGTTAAAATTTAAAAATAAGGAATTTGGGCCAGGGATTTAGTTCAATGGTGCCGCCACCTGCCTTGCAAGCACAAGGACCCGAGTTCAATCCCTGGTACCAAAAAAAAAGGAATTTAATGACACAAAGAATTATAGTAGTCCCTGAAAACAAATGGTATTAATGCTATAATTGCTGCTATAAATTTATACAATGAACATGAACTAACCTTTGCAATCTGTGTATAAGCTGGATGTTCCTCAGTTGGTTTCATTATTGCTGGCTGTGTATTAGGTACATTAGGCATTTTCACACTGCCTGGTGGGGGCTAGGAAGATTAAGAAAAGGACATATTATATAACATAAAGTCCAATTTTAACTTCTCTCAAAAGTTACAACACAAGTGCCAGGAATTTAGCTCAGTAGTACCTTGTAAGCACAAGGTCCTAAATTCAATCCCTGATACCAAAAAAAAAGTTGCAACACTAATGATACAAAGCAAAATCCCAATATTGGCCTCTCTTCTTCCCCTGCCTTCTCCTAGTCATGCATGTGGGAAAGAACTGTTAAAGCTTCTATCTCCATTTTCTCTGACTCAATCATTTTTCAACTCTACACTATCCTTGCTATCTTTCACACTATACCACAAACACTCTTCTCCAGGACACTGTATTTTTAAAACATCTTTTACATAGTAGAATACCAAATCAAATAATCATACCAAGCAGCAACACACAGTGGCATATACCTGTAGTCCCAGCTACTCAAGAGGCTGAGGAAAACTGCTCGAGCCCAGAGTTCAAAGCCAGACTGGTTCACATAGCAAGACTTCATCTCTGTGTCAAGTACCCTGAAAAGTATACAGGACCTCTCTTGGTAGAATTTCACCAAGAACTCTTGAAAAAATGTAAGAAAGAAAGGAAATGGAAAATAAAGTAAATAAAACTACAAAACTTCCACTTTGCTAAGGAAGATCAGCATTATTTGAAAGGAGCTGTAAGGTCAAGAGGCAGACATCTACAAGCCAAACAACACAGAACTGGTTAAATTACCATATATAATGAAGCACAGACATCACAAAGATGAGTTACAACTATCAAAAATGTTTTCTAAATACTAAAGCAAACTACCAAAGAACATGCAGAGGATCTCTTTAAATAAACATTTACACATATTCAAAAAAATGTATAGAAGATCACAGCAAACAATTATCAGAAGACTTTCACCTAGTGCTACTCTTTTATCTGTCTTCCTTAACATACTTATTAAACACCACTTATCACTTTTTTTTTTTAAGTGTTTTGAGATAGGGTCTCACTATGTAGTTGAGACTGACCTGGAACTCACTATGTAGCCCAGGCTGGTCTTGAACTCACAATGATCCTCCTGCTTCGGCCTCCTGAGTGCTGGGATTATAGGCGTGTGCCACCACACCCGGGCGCACTTAGCACTTTTTAAAATTAATCTTTTTTTTTTTTTTTTTTGGTACCAGGGATCAAACTCAGGACCTTGTGCTTGCCAGGCAGGCACTGTGCCACTGAGCTATATCCCCAGCTCCTCGTATTTTTAAAGTGCTCCTTAGAAAGGTTATAAAGAAAAGAAGGATGGCAAGATGAAAAGGCAAGATAATGAAAGGGAAGGAGGGTAGTGGGAAGGCAGAACAGGGAAAGGAAGATAGCTAAGAAGGAAGGAAGACAGGAAGGAGGCTACCTACAATACTAAACTGAATAGTCAGAACTACTAGAAAACCCCACAAAGGTAGCAGGATTTTACTGACACAGCTGACAGCAGCTTTGAAAAGGAAGCCAGGCACAGACAAAGATATAACCGGAAGATAGTTGAGTCTAAAATTTAGGAGGAAAAATAAAGACTAATAAATAGAAACACTTTGGGAGAAAAATAAGACAGGGGACCTATGATATCAAGACTTAGTATAAGGCCATACATTTCAGAGGGTGGTATGGATAAGAATATAGAAATGTACCAATAAACAAAAGTCATACACAAGCCCACACAACTGGAGAAACTAAATACCAAACAAAGATGGCACTACAAAATAGCAGAGAAATACTGTCATTAGTCAATAAATGGTGCTGGGGTAATTACATAATTACCTAAAAAAAAAAAACCCTAAATTTCTTACTTCATATCATATGCAAAAATAAACTCAAGGCAGATTAATGATCCAATAGTAAAGCTTAAATTTGGGGGGGGGTGAATATTATATAATATTTATAGGGTAAAAACTTCTTGAATGTGACCTCTAGATATTTCATGTGTTTTGTTTATGATGTACCCCAAGCACCTAAAACAGTGCCTGGAACACAGTACAAGCTCAATAATTCTTTATTACATTAAGTAACATAAGGGAACACAAATAATAAAAGTAAAGATTGGTAATTTAACTATTTTAAAATTTAATTTAAAATTTGTTAAAAAGTAAAATCATAAATTGGGGTAAATTAGTGCCTACAACATAAAATTGCTGCCCAGAATATATAAACATTACAAATCCATACAAATAAAAACTTACTAGAAAAATGGACAGAAAATCTGAACTGGCAATACAGGAAGTAAAAATAGGAATAACCAATAAACATATAAAAACACATCCAACTTCACTGGTAATCATAAAGTGCAAAGACATAACATATAATTTTAAAACTATGAGTCAGAAAACCAAAACTGACAATATCACAATTTGGAATTAAATATATCTATAGTGATGGTATATATGAAAATTAAAGCACTGATCTTGACAATTATTCAATTCAGTGGGAACAAAAGGGATTATGAATAAATGGTCCTGGAACAATTATTTACATTTGAGAAAGAAGGGGCTGGGGATTTAGCTCAGTGATTCTGCCACCTGCCTTGCAAGTACAGGGACCCAAGTTCAATCCTTGGTACCAAAAAAGATGAAATTCAAATTTGAGAAAGAAAAAAAAATCCCTAAATCTCAACAGAATAAATTCCAAATGGCAAAAGACCAAATGCAAAAAGTAAAACCTACAAAGACTCTAAAAGATAGTAAAAACATACAAACTATTGAGACTATCTGATTGGGTGAAGTTATACTAAACAACTCAAAGAGATGAAGTGAGAGAAATCATAATGAAAAGGTAAAAATTTAGAATCACAATCTTAAAAGCATTAAGCAAGATTAGAAGTATAAAAGAAAGAAACAAGGGCTGGGAATTTAGCTCAGTGGTTCTGCCACCTGTCTCGCAAGCACAAGGTCCAGAGTTCAATCCCTGGTACCAAAAAACAAAAGAAACAGCTAAGCATGTAACTGAAAAAATGTTTTAAATGCCTGAGCAGATAAATTAAACACAAAAGGAAAATAAGCATATAAGAATTCAACCACACTAGTAATCAAAGAAATGCAAATTTAACCTAATTCCTACCATAGTATTACCATCATATTTTGAAAAAAATTTAATAAAATGGATATTCTCACACACTGATAGGTGTACAAACTAGCACCTATGACAATCCTAAAGCACAATTTGACATTATTGTACCAAGAGTCGCAGAACATTTATATCCCATGAATAGCTAATTTTAAAAAATATCTCAAGGAAATAATCTAAATTATGTGTATGCCAAGAATGCTAACTAAAATTTTATTTATAAAAGCAGAGTTAAAAAATAATCCAAAGTCCAACAACATGGAAATGCTTAAATTATGATCCAACCATAGGAGAGTAATTATATAGCTATTTGAAAGTCAGTGGTATCTAGCTCAGGAAGAATGTTGGTCCTGAAAGAGCAAGGCACTGGATTCAACCCTCAGGGGATTAGAGAGGGGAGGGAAGAGAAGGCCAAGAGGTGAGAAGGCCTGCAGGCAGGGAGGTAGTCAAGGAGGGAGGGAAGGAGGAGGAGAGGTTAGTTCTAAAAGAAAATGGGTAAGCTTAGACAAATACTAAGTGACAAAAACAAACCAAAAAATAAAGCTGAATAGACAGTATAATCTCAATTAATATTTTAAGGTATGATAATAATTGAAATAATGCCAAAAGATTATTTGAATAGCAATGAATGAATAGTATGTTATTGTATATTTGTTATCAAAGAATCAGATCTTTTCCTACCAAAAGAATCATAAACACAGAGGTCGGAGAGAGGTTAAACCTGTTTCTCCAGGACCAAACCCATAAAGGGCAACCTGGCCTGTGATAGGTTAAACATAGCCCACTCCTCATAAATAGGCAATAGCCCACCCCCCAAAAAAACGGTAAAAGGACCTTTCTTTCTTTGTTCTTCTCTTCTTCTTCTCTCTCTCTCTCTCTCTCTCTTCCCTCTCTCCTCTCTCCCTAAGCTTCCTTTCCTAATAAAATCTCCTGTAGGACCTCTCAGTGTGTGGCCTAGTTGTTGAGCATCGCTGTGCCTCTACACAATAAGGAAGACTTCTCTATCTCCCTGGTTACATTACAGTATATCACCTTCATTCTGAGTTCATTAAAACTGCAGATATCAAAGGAAAGCTAATCTACTCACAGGGGAAAAGACACTATGGCAGAACGGGATATACTTGTGTAAGATAAGATCTCTGACAAACCAGGACCCATGCTGACCAAAAAGAAGGTGGGGTGTTCCCAAAGTGGCTGGGAAAGGAGGTTTGATAAGATCACAAAACAGTTCCCAAAGCTCTGCAGGCAGGCTTCTCAGGCAGGCTTCCGAAGAACTCCGGGTTTCTGATAGGATGGCCTATCGAGAGGAATGAGTGATACAAAAAGGATAGTCTATACAGTCTCATTCTGTAGGCTTTCATTTCATTTCCTACTTTTACTTGGCCCAAACTCATTCTGCACAGCCTGTTTCTTTTCCTACCTTTAAAAAAACTTTGCTATAGTTTGCCCTTGTCTTGACCAATTCTTTGCTCAGGACAGAAAGAAACTAGAAACTACCTCCAGAAGGAGACTCCAGCATCACAGAACATTACTACTGTTAACGCCTGGGGAGCTCTTAAGTATGCACTGGGAAAAGCAGATGGGGCAGAGGCATAAATGAGAAACAAAGTTAGGACAGGCCAAAAAGAGTAAGAGAGCTGATTGTAGACACCAGATCCCCCCCGCCAAAAAAGAATGAAAAAGCAAGACTGTATATGCTTTTCCCATGGTGGATACAGAAAAGAGAATTTAGTAATACTCTTCAGAGTGGGCACTATCTAGCACAACCTGAAGAAGTGAGATGGATCTATATGTAACATACAGTAAAGCAGAGCATGGGATGCAAATGCTGGCACAAATGTGGTGGCAAGGTCTGCGGATAGTCTCTATTGACTGCCTCATTCTCTCACTGAATAAGAGCCAAAGTAATCAGCTG